TGCACGATCCAGAGCAGAATGAGGTCACTTCACCTGCAGAGTTTCAGAGATGCAAAAACATGTATGGTGAAAAAAGAGAGATCTACCTGAAGTTGAACAAAGAATGTGAGATATCAGGAGCAGGGAAACAAAAACCTGTGCTAGTATCCTATTCCACATACTCTGATCGATAATACATAGTGTTGGAGAAGATTCTTTTTTCTTGTCTGTTTGTTGTTTGTTTGTTTGTCCATCTGTTCGTTTGTTCCTTTGTTCGTTCCCTGTAATGTACGCCCCATATCTTTACATCCTGTCCACATCCACAGCTCATCCTGGTTATCGGATTATCTCACAGTCACACACTCATCTGTTTCCTCCCAACGATGAGAACCCTGTCCTGCAGAACAACATATCTTACAAGCACAAAAATCTTTATACATCAACATTACAATGAGTAACATATAATGAATAAACCCTCAAGATTAAGTATTCTTATTCTTTAAACTTAAATGATTATATATGTTTCAAGTAATATATCATGTACACAACAATAGCAACTAAGTTGTTGGAGAGTAGATATCTAGTTTAATATTGTCCTCAATGACCAACACTGTCTTCTCTTTTAAATCAACCTCAGGCTGCGTCAGTGAGTTCTATATTAAATACTGTCACATGTTTCTCCATGAAAACTCATTAAATTCATGTTTGACCTGAAGAAGCTTCTTCCATGTTGCACGAAACCATCATTGTCAGCGTCTCTTCCACATATACACTCACCTCTGATCACACACAGGTACAGCTGGTTTGGTTCTGACACATTCCTTCATGTGTTCAGCTGCATTAAGGGTCACTGTGAGTGGATTGGTCTTCAACACTGCAGCACTTAGTGTTGTAATGGTTGCGGCAACTTTCTGTGTTTCTGTCTGACAGTGTGTAAACAGGGCATGGACACCCTGCTATCATAACTCATTTAGTTTGTGCACAGAGTGTCTCTAGTATATGCTGTTTATTAAAAGTTAGAGTGAGAACATGTGCTTCACTGATGTTAGGGAAATTCTTCAGTGGAGTCCTAACTGCTCCGAATCAGCACACAGAGTCGTCTCTCAAATCAAAGCAAAGTTCTTCTTGCAGCAAGGAACCAACATGTATAGTACAGAGTCTGAACAAGTGACTGCCTAAAAGCAAGAAAGAAGCATTGGTTCTTACATACAGACAGTGAATAGAAAACAACCTCCCGCAAATGGGTGCGATTAGGCACAGTTCTCGTGGTGTTCTGACTACCCGCTAAGAACAGCTAATCCTTGTCTCACATTCACAAAGTTCAGTAGAGGTAACAGACATTTACAGCATTAACTCACAGACTTTTCATAAATATCATTGGAACATAATAGAATTATTCTAACAGCTGACTACAGCCTAACTGTGGCATCTAGTTTAAGCAGTGACCACCTCTGACTACACCTGCTACTAACTACACAAGAAGTGTATTATTTTCATCATGATTATTTTGAAAACCAAATTACAGTTAATAGTGTTAGTAAAACATCAGGATGACTAAGTTAATCTCTCATCTTAAAGGACGAAGGGAGAGTCGAGATTCAACTCAAAGTGATGTGACTCTGAGTCGATTCTCTTTCACTGACTCACTGACTTGTATCAGTATAAAAGAAAGAACCTTCTTAACAGATATAACATGTACTCTTGAACTTCAGTGCTGTGGGTTTGGTGAGTTGATGCTATTTGTGAGGCTACACTCAGAAAGTCGCAGTGATGTGACAGCTGACTCTCTCTCTATATATATAAACATATATATGTCTGTTGCGTTCCTCCAGTTGTTTCTGAGCAGTTTTAGAGGTGTAGCAGAGTGCACCGTCCTGCTGGAGGACACCTTCTGTCGGGGAGTGATTCATGTTGTGGCTAATGAGTAATTATTACAGACATGTTTGTTTGTGTATGTAGTGAAAAATCAATACGTGATCTTGCCTGATGGGATACTTGTTTCTTTCACTGGTGCTGCATCAGGATGGCAGTCTTGCAAGATAAGAGTAACATATATGTACTTATAAAATAACTGACTCACTGACTTACATCCCTGTTGTTGGAATCATGAGTGACCCTTCCACAGCCATTTATCTCCATCATTTCTCCACATTGGCATTTTATTGTGTCTACGTATTTACCTTCCACCCTGCAGGAATAGTTTCACACCTGTTCTCGGTTACACTGCATCCAACATCCACATTTTGACTTTAAAGTCCCTAAAAACCAAGCAGAGCCAGAGGCTACAGAGGCTGTGAAGAGGGTGAAGGACCAGAGGAAACATTTGGTATCCATAAACCCCTACAATAGAAGAGCCTGATCCAGAGAGTAAAAACAGAAACATGAAATAAAAGGGCTCCCTGAGGGGATGGCCTTATGGCACAAAGCAGAGCAGAGCGCATTACCTCATGTTGTCAGAATTATACAGAAAAAAATTGAGGTTGACTTTTCAAATAT